AGGGAGAAAGAGAGAGAGCTTTCCAGTTAGCAATTCCACTTGAGCAAAAGCACAGAAATATAAAACTTTTTAAAGCAGAGGAGAATCAGAATCAGATTTTTGCCTCACACAGCCTGCTCTGGCAGAGGTAGACTAGACCAAAAAAAAAACACACACACACACATCCAGAAGACTTTGTAGTGACCGGGTATCTAAGAATAGGCAGTGGCAAGGACAGTACAGAGGAAGCATGGGGCGCAAGTGTCACTGAGGTGGGAAGTTAACTGAGTTCAAGGACAGATGTAGTTAATGAAGGAAAGAGAGGTGTTATAGTGTTATGGTGTTAGATCTAAGATGGCCCCCAAAGCCTCAGGTGTTTGGGAATTGGTTGGACCATGGCCGTAATACAGCTGCATGGCTGTTAGATGGAGCCTGGGCAGAAGAGGTGTGGCCTGCAAAGGTCCTCACTTTGCTCTGTTTCTGGTCCACCATGCAGCGAGCAGCTCTTGATTCCCTATTCTCTTAGAATGGCAATGCAGGAGGCCAAGCAAGTGGGGAGAACATAATGACTTGGGATTTGTTTGAGCTTTTGAGTGCTGGGTCATCATCCAAGTGTAGATACCATGTATAAAAGTAATTCCTTTCAGAGTTCAGGAAAAAAGGTGCAGTTGGCATAGTAATTTTCAGAAAGCTGCCCAGGATCTGTAGAAAAGTCTGCTCTTTTGTGGGTATTTATTTTATTTTAGCACAACATTTTAGGGAGGAGCACATCTAAAAGACATCATGTTAGCAAGGCAGGACCCTGGAGAGAAGATGTATCTAGTAATAGGCGATGTTAAGACTTATTTTTCCATTAGCAATAATGGGTTTTAGGGAGCTATAGACATGCTTATGCAGGCTCCTTTGTGGCTAATTTGACAGAATTTGTCTTGAGACCACAATTGTGGATATAGTTCACGGCTATGAAAGATTTTCTCTGTGTGAAACTAACTGGCCCACCTGGGCATAAGCTCCATCTCATCTTTATTAGGGCCACTCTCCAAGCACCTGAGCAATCTCCCAGCAAAAGGCTGCATGATATGCCAGTCATCCTCATGATGTGAAGTATCC